TGCGCTGAGCAAGGCAACACGAAAACACTTTTAACCATAATTGCATGAATATTGCATATGCAGCAATCTCGTTACCGGGCGCGTCAAGTAGGTTCCGCGGCGATAACGGCAACATCAGGGCGCGGGCGACTCACCTGCTGTAGCACAGGTCGGAGTGCGAGTGTGACCTGGTGGGAGAAGCATCGCCAGGCCACCAGGTCACGAGGTCGTTTGGTCGGTTGGCTTGGGATTTGAGGGAGTGTTGCCGAGTGGTATTATGCCTGGGGAAGGAGGGGGGAGAAGGGGGAGGGAGGCCACGCAATAAGACATGTACATGATGTGCTTGTGCTGAGAGAGAGAGAGAGAGAGAGAGAGAAGAGAGAGAGAGAGAGAGAGAGAGAGAGAGAGAGAGAGGAGAGAGAGAGAGAGAGAGAGAGAGAGAGAGAGAGAGAGAGAGAGAGAGCGACAGACACATCCTTACAAACCAGCGACATGACACGATAGAGGCCATCATATGATTTACCAAGAAAAGCATTTGCCAACGACCAGAACCAGACCATCGCCCGCACTGAAACGGAAGCCCGCCCAGCCAGCCGCCTCGTTGGTGATCTAGGCGACGGTGTAACAACCTCACATGTACAACTCATGACACTTTCATGCAGTTGCGTGCTGGTTTCATGAACTGTTCCCGCTCTGTCCTAACCGCAGAATTAGAACATATTTTAAATTTTTTATCGGCTCCGCGAGCAACGGAGTGCGCAGTAACTTCCACGACAGGTGGCAATGCAAGAATGAACTCCGCTTCTTTTAGTTTCCTATCATTTATTTACTGATTTGTCTATCTATGCAATTTTGTCATTATTTTTATATCAATTCATGATTGGTGCAATTCTTCCCACTACCATTAAGGAAAGATAATAGTAAATGCTATGCCACGAATCGTTTTGATATCACCTCGCCTAATATCATTTCCATGATTCCATTCCATCACATTCGGCCGAGGTTGCACCGCCGCCAGCCGCTGCCCATAATCTCTGTTTGATCTGATCATAAAATAATCGGGTTGCATCCCGGTAGAGAGCATATCGGCGTATGGGATGGTATTTATAGCTTTCCCGATATACCAAACATAGTATGGCACATCTGGCATATCCTTTTATAGTGCAGGATATCCGATATACCTCATGTAACATATTAAAGTATACATAACCTATATAGATTCAGACCCACCCGATATCCCCTTCACGGTATAGCATATCCGATATGTATCGTATAGTATGCTATCTCCAACATATCGTCCAGAGTATAATACAAAATACCCCTCATAATGACCAGATCTTTTCCACAAATCTCTTCAAAAGGATATGCCATTACACCAGTCCTCACTTCAATGCCCTTTGATTTAAGACCGTGTTTCGACATCGGCTGTTGCTGCAACTCGTCTCGACAAGACTACCGCCTCCAAGAAGTCAAGGGCAAGGAGATTAAGAAATAATTAAGAAAGCAGGAGGGACACGGGGGTGAGGGAAAGAGGGGAGAGCGGAAAAAAGAATAAAAAGAAAGAAGAGGGGGGGGGGAGAAGAAAGAGATTTAGAAGGGATAAAGGGTGAAGTGAATGAGAAGGAGAGGTGAGAGAGAAGAGAGAGGAGACAAGATGGAAGCAGGCGGGAGAAGAGAAAAGAGAGAGGGTTGAAAGAGGGAGGGGAGTAGGGGGAACAAATAGAGGTGAGAGGAGAGAGAAGAGTTAAGTGAAGAGAGGAGAAAAGTGAGAGAGAAAGAGGGTAGGAGGGGATGAGAGAAAAAAAAGGAAAAGAGTGGGCACAGACGTGGAGGAAGAGAGGGGGAGAGGGGAGAGGGGGAGGAAGAGCAGGGGGGGAGAGGGGCAGGACGAGGAGTGGGGTGAAATGTGGCCAGCAATCCTACGCGTCCTGGATGAGGTCCTGAGATTGGTTCCCGCGAGCTTAAGAAATTTAGGAGAAACATCGATCTCGGCCTAATTTCATTAATGCCCAAGGAAGACATCGGATATCTTTTCCCAGCTCCATTTTCTCGTCTTTTTTAAATGATTATCAATCTTTCCGTCTCATGTTTATTTAACAAGAAGAATGACATAAAGACCAATGGGTAGTAAATAGTAGATATAAAAATACGAACCTGTATATCCGATATACAGAGAGAGATAGGAGAGAGAGCTAGATAGGGTAGATAGGTAGGTAGGTAGATAGACAGATAGATAGACAGAGAGAGAGAGAGAGAAAGAGAGAGAGGAGAGGTAAGGAGAGAGGAGAGAGAGAAAGAGAGACGGCAAACGCAAGAACCCCAATCTTCAACCGCAGACAATATCTCACAACATCTTATTTCTACCTCCCTCTCCTGCGCCCATAACTCACCATTCCTCTCTTCCCCTCTTTATCTCCTCCCCTTCGTCTCTCACGCATTTATTAACTCCCCTTCCCTCGATGTCCTATGGTCTCGCCACACGCCCGGTAATATTTCCTTCAGCGGCCACTTTCGCCCCCGCTGCGCCCTCTCCCACGCCCTCCCTCACGCCCTCTCCCAGCCCTCCCTCACGCCCTCTCCCCGCCCAAAGGGTAGGCGGTGGCTCTCCTGCCTCCGTCTCTTCCCTTCTTTCTTTAGTCCTCCTTTCTTCTTTCTTTGTATCACGCTAGTCTTCTATTTCTTTTCTTTCTTTGTTCCTTCCTTCTTTGTTTCTCTTCTTTTTTTTCATTGTCTGTCTTCACTCCTCTCTCTTTTTCTTTCTTTGTATCTCTTCATTCTTCTATCTTCTATGTTTCTTCTGTCTTCTTTCTGTCTTACCTTTATTCTTCCCTATTCCTTCCCTCCTTTCACTGACCTTCCTTCTCTTTAACTTCCTTCCCTTCCCCTCCTTCTCCCTCTTCTTCCCTTTTTCCCTCTTATTTTGCCCTTCCTTATTTTTTAGTTTCGCTCATATCTCCCGGTCTCATTTCCATTTCTAGTTTGGGAATTCTTTACATATTTCTATTTTTCTACCCAAGTCTCCGCAAACTTTCCCTCCTCTGGTTCTGCTTTATCAAATTCTCTCTCTCCCCTTTCCTCTTAGAAAACCCTTGTAGCAACCCAATACACTGTAATCAAGAACATGCGCACAGACACACACAGACACACACACTGGCACACACCGCGTGCGCACACATACACATCCTGAAACACCCACGCCCACACATATTTTTTTTTCGTTTTATTTTTTTAATAATCAGATTTCTAGGATTCTTCGTCTGTCTGTCTGTCTTTCCCTCTCTATCTCCCTTTCCCTCCCCCCCCCCCCCTCTCTCTCTCTCTCTCTCTCTCTCTCTCTCTCTCTCTCTCTCTCTCTCTCTCTCTCTCTCTCTCTCTCTCTCTCTCTCTCTCTCTCTCTCTCTCTCCTCTCCTTCCTTCCTTCTTCCTGACGAGGGGCCCATCAGCGGCAATCAGGGCCGGCCTCCCTTGGGGTAGTCAGATCGGTGTAACTCGACGACAGTTTAAATTGATAGACTGAAGCTAAAGGATGTCACTGGAGGAGGTGAATCTGTGCTGTGTGTGTGTGTGTGTGTGTGTGTGTGTGTGTGTGTGTGTGTGTGTGTGTGTGTGTGTGTGTGTGTGTGTGTGTGTGTGTGTGTGTGTGTGTGTGTGTGTGTACGCGAGTGTGTGTGAGGAGGGAGGAACGGAGAGAGGGAGATAAATAGACAGACAGAGGAACACACAAATGGATAGACTAACATATAGTAAGAAAAGCAAAAGAGAAATATATACAGAAAGAATATCCAAGCAAGTGCGTGAGTGCGCGCGCATGTTTCCCAGCAGAGCTTCCCCGCCCACAGCGCGCGGCAGACAGACAGGCAGACAGACAGACAAACACAGATAGAGCGCCCTCCATCTCGTCCTCTTTTAATCCCGACTTGTGCCTGGCATCGGACACCCGTGAAAGATGAGCAAGACCAGCATCCCGAGCGCGAGAGACCTTCAAGGAAACGAGGGAATAAAAACGGGAGAAGAGAAACGGGGGAAGAGAAGCGGGGAAGAGAAACGGGGGAAGAGAAATGGGGGAAGAGGAACGGGGGGGAATAAAAACGGGAGAAGAGAAATGGGGGAAGAGAAACGGGAGAATGCAAGGAATGGACGAGGGAAGGGGAGAGAGAGAGGAGGAGAAGGGAGGAAGGGAGGATGGAAGGATGGAGGGAAGGGAGGATGGGAGTATGTTAGGATGGAAGGACGGAGGAAGGGACGAGGGATGGGAAGAGAAAGGAGGTGAAGGAAGAGGAGGGAGAGTAAACACGAAGGAAGGAAGAAGAATGTAAAGGGAAGGAAGGAAGGAAGAAGAATGTAAAGGATAGGAAGGAAGGAAGATGAATGTAAAGGGAAGGAAGGAAAGAAAGAAGAACCGAGGTAAGGAGGAGCGATATGAAGATGGAAGATAGAACAGAGAGAAAACAAAGAAGTAGAAGAGTCAGAAGGATGGTAGGAAGGAAGGACGAAAAAAGGAGATACACGATGGAAAGACGGAAGGAGGGATGGATGGAAGAAAGAGATCTTACGTGATCGCTTAAAGCCTATACTTATTTTATCGAAGATACAGATAAACTAACATGTAGGATAGCGGAAAATCCATAACAGGCATAAAAAGACAAATAATTATGAAAAACAAATAACGAAAATGAACAAGACAAATAGCAAGGCAGACAATAAAAATAACTAGAAAAAATACGAAGAACAAAGAAAACAAGAAAAAAGAAAAAAAAAACAGAGGAAAGTAAGAAAAACAGAGAAAAGACAAGAATAAAAATGCTCGTTCCTCAACTGAAAGAGAAACACGATTTTATAAAGTCAGAAGAGAGAAAAAAAATACTGAAACACAATAGCCTCCCATGTTACACGACACCTAAAAGAACGACCGTGTACTGTAACCTATCCCCGAGGTCCGTTTACAAGAATATAACGTGTTCGAGACTTGAATGTGAACTATAATACCTTCACTCTCTCAGGGATCACCTAATACGGAGCGATCACGGTATTCCCCGACGTAACCTCATCCCGACGAGGCAGTCCTTTGGGAGATTTCCCTCATCTCGCTCGAACACCGGAGCGCCTTGTTCCCATAATGCATCTGAGAGAAACATGCGGTTGCGTCATAGGCAAAGCTTCATCACCGGTAAATTCGACGTTCGATACCTGCGTAAGTATTTTCTTTTAAATACTCTCGCCTCACAAATAGAGTGAACCATAGCCATTACTTAAAGACGAAGAAGATGAAGAAGAAGAAGAAAAGGAATGGTTTTGGAAATAAGATAAAAATATAACTCTTACACAAAGTTTGGACATCTGCTTCTACCTTGTTGCTTCGCCCTTTCATCTATCCTTTTCAGATTGAGAACGAAGAAGAAAGAAAAAGATTAGAGAGAGAAATAGAGCGGTGATGGAGAAAGAAGAGAAGAGAGAGAGAGAGAGAGAGAGAGAGAGAGAGAGAGAGAGAGAGAGAGAGAGAGAGAGAAGAGAGAGAGAGAGAAGAGAGAGAGAGAGGAGAGAGAGAAAGAGAGTCCGTTAATGAAAAGGTGCATTTGAACACTCACAAAGCGGGTCACACCAGGTTCCTGAACACCAAAAAAGCCGGTAAATGGCGAAACTGCTTTTCCCTGCGTCTGAAGGAGGCGAAGCAGCAGCGACGAGGAGGTGGCATGAGGAGGGGGAGAAGGAGGAGGAGGGCGTGGAGTGAGGTGGTGAGAGGGGAGGAAGGGAGGGAATGGGAGAAGAGAGGAAGCTAAGGAAGGAGGGAGAGGAGGAGGAGGGAGTGGAGTGAGGTGAGAGGGGAGGAAGGGAGGGAATGGGAGAAGAGAGGACGCTAAGGAAGGAGGGAGAGGAGAAGGAGGGCGTGGAGAGAGGTGAGAGGGGGGGAAGGGGGAATGGGAGAAGGAAGGAAGCAAAGGAGGGAGGGAGAAGAGGAGGAGGAGGAAGAGGGAATGGGAGAAGGGAGGAGGCAAAGGTATGAGGTAAAGGAATAGGGTGAGAATGGGGGAATAGGAGAAGAGAGAAGCCGAGCGGAGCAGGAGAGGGAAGAAGATTGAAGTAGAGAAGGAAGGAGGCGAAGGAAGAAGGTAGAGAAGGAGAGGGAGAAAGGGGAAATAAGAGAGGGGAGAAGGCAAAGGAAGGAGAGGAGACGGGGAGGACAGAATTAAACGGAACTTGAGAGCCGGCGACGCAGCAGCAGGAGCAGAGCGAGAGCAGAGCAGGTCGTTATGGGCACGAAAGGCGTTTGATGCAAAGGCGTATTATACGGCGGAGCGAAAATATTTCGTACTGGGGCGAGGCCGCCGATAACGCACGGATAAGCATTAGCCACATTTACACAAATGTTAAACGCCAGGCACATGGATGAGAGGGGGGAGTGGGAGTGGGAGAAGGAGAGGGGGAAGGGAGGGGGAAGGAGGGGAGGAGGAGGGAGAGGGGTGAGGGTTAGGGAAGGGAAGTAAGAGGAGGAAAGAATGGGAGAAAAGGAGAGGGAAGAGGGGAAATGAGATAAAGGAAACAAGAGAGAGAGAGAACGTGGAAGAGAAAAATAAATAAATAAAGAGCAAGAGGTAGGGGGACAAAAGGAGTAGAAGAGATAGGATAAAAAGAATGTAAGGGGCAAGTAATAAGAATGATAAAGGGGACGAGAACGAGTGGGGAGTAAACAAGTAAACAAGAAAGGAAAGAGGGAAAAGGGTAAAAAAAAAAAAAAAATCTTGAACATTAATGACGGTTCGGGTGAATACCAAGAGCTTGAGAGGGGGGGGGGAGTAGAGATGGAGTAGAGGAGGGGAGGGGGGAGAGGGGGGGGCGGCAAATGACTTCCACCTGGTCTCTTTCAGTAGGACTTTCCTCAGAAATATCTTGACGCTAAAACATTTATAAAATTCTCGGGATCTGTCGATGGGAATGGTAATGGAGTTTAGATTGGAAAATCAGAAAGGAAAAATTAATAAATATAGAAGATGAAGAAGATGAAGCAGAAGGAGAAGAGATGAAGAAGAAGAAGATGAAGAAGATGAAGAAGAAGAAGAAGGCGAAGGAAAAGCAAAATAAGAAAATAAAAACAGACGGCGATAAGAAAGGATAAGCAAGAAAATGAGAGAGAGAAAAAAAAGGAAGACGAATAAAAAAGGGGAGATGAAAGAAAGAAGCATAGGAACGAAGAAATGAACACTCCTCTTCGCCATTCCATCAACAGGTAGGAATTACGGTCGTCGTCATAATTTTCACTAATTAAATCGACTTCATTAAAATTCCCGACAGTTATCCCACCCCTTCCCCCGGTTTCACATTGGTACTCCCTCCTCCTACCCCCTTTCCCCTTAGTAACCTCCCCCCTTGCCCCTTGCCCCTAGTAACCTACCCCCTCCCCCTTTCCCTTTCGAACCCTACCCCTTTCCCTTCTCCCTTCGCACCCTTTGCACCTTTCTTTTCGCATCCTACCCCTAACCCCCTTAGCACTCTATCCCTCCTCCCTTTCCGTTCGCACCGTGCCCCTTCCCCCTTTTCCCTTCACACCCCTACTCCCATTCGCATTTTACCCCTCCCTCTTCCCCTTAGCAACCCTACCCTTCCCCCCATTCCCCTCTTTCCCCTCCCCAGGTCCCTCCCCGTCTCCCCTCTCGGCACACTGATCTCACTGTAAAAAGCACTTATAAATTTATAAACTTATAAATGGTAGCTTTCTAGTGTTCCGTCATGCATACAACATGACAGGTGGAGTGACGTCATGATGTCGTTTCGGCCACGCCCTCATGACGATGACTGCATGACAAAATTTATCGATACGATTCACAAAGGAAGACTTCATGGTAAGGATAATAAAATTATGAAATAGTAACGGTGATAATGTAGAAAATTATACAATGACAGTAATAAGGATGTCGTTAGTGGTAGTGACGGTGATGAGTGAATGGTGACAATAACAATCAAGAACAATAATACTTTAATAATCATATGAGATCAAAATTTATTAGAATCATCAATAATACTTTTACTAATCATACGAGATCAAAATTTATTAACACGTGCAACTAAATAGTATAACAACAATCTAAAAAAATCCTTTTCACAATGTACAGCTGAATAGTATAACAACAATCTAAAAAAAATCCTTTTCACAACCACAACAAAAGCAAGAACAAAACTTTTAACGAGGCCGCCATTATCGCACGCCCAGCAAGGCAGTAAATAAGAAAAGGAGAGAAAAGAAAAAGAAAAAAAAAAGAGAGACGAATGTAAGGCTAATCACAGGGGGACCACAATTACCCAGACTAATTCCCGATCGCCCCGCGTGATAAATCTCATTCTTTGAGGTGCTCTGGCGATATTTTTTTTACCTTTTATTTTATTTATTTTTTTCTCTCTCTTCTCCTTAAGTTGCTAATAATGACGCAAGATGAACGGCCTGGCTCTCCGGCCCCAAAAGTCCCGCTGCAGAAGGAGTTAAAGTCTCGTTAGTGATACGGAACCGACTGCCGAGAAGTGATCAGTCAGTCGGGATGTCGGCGGATGTCGGGGCGAGAGGGAGGTGGCGAACGCGCGCGGGCTGTGGTGCGGGCGCGGATTCGTGTGGATATGGGTTGATGTGCAAGTTTACGAGTATATACACGTAAGGTGTTTGTCTGTATGTGAACACAAGTGTATAGCTTCATGTACTAGTTCGTATACATACACGCACGCGGGTTGTTGTGCGGGTACGGACTCGTGTGGATCTGGGTAGATGAGTTTATGAGTATGTACATCTAGGTACGGGTGTTTGTCTGTATGTGCACACAAGTGTATATATCCGTGTACTAGTTCGTATACATACACGCAAACAATAATTTGCACAAGGACAAATGAATATATAAATACGCATACACACACACCCTACGCACCCAACCCCCCCACACACAAACACACACACACATACACACGCACGCACGCACACGCTCACCCGGCTTCGATGTGCAGCGGCTTATTGGCTACATTAGTCCTTGCCAAGCCCGCCTGCCGCCATCCCCTCGACCCGGCTGTCATTCGTGTCATCTCCCTCTCTCCCTTCCCCGTTCTCTCCGGCGTCACGGGCTTCCAGTTGTCTGCCCGGGGCTTCCAACTCCTCTTCGGACTCACTTATTACTTGTTTTCGCTACCCCTGTCTTTGCCTTCTCTTTCCCTTTGTCTGTTCCCCTCTCTGTTCGGTTTTGTTTATAATGTCCCTCGCTCTCGTGCTTTCGCTCGCTCGTTCTCTCTCTTCCTTTCGCTCGGTCTCTCTCGCTCTTCTTTTCTCTTTTCTTCTTTCCCCTCTTTCTCTCTGTCTAGTTTTGGATGACACTCTGGTTCACTTTCCCTTTTCCCATTCTGTCTCTCTCCTTCTCCACTCATTTTCTCTCGAATTTTGTTAAATGGACAGCTTTGCTTTCCTCCCCCCTCCTGTCTCTCCCTTTCCTTCCTTCTTTCTCTTTCTGCCTTTTTCCCTCTTAATAAGTCTTCCTCTCTCCGTCCCCATCCCTCTATCTCTCTCTCCTACCGTCTTCCTTAGTATCGTCCTCCCTCCCTCTCTAGCTCTTTTCCTACCCTCTTCCCCAGTCTCTCTCCCGCTACATCTATCAATCTCCCCCCCCCCCTACCCTCTCCGCCAGTCTCTCTCCCTCCCTCTCTCCTTCTCCCTCCTCCCCTCCGTTCTCTATTTCCAGGATTAGTTTAGGCCTCCCTCCGCCCGGCGCTGTCATCTCCGCATCTCCGGCATCCGCAGCATCTTCGACATCGTGATTATCTTATCTTACGCGAACTGAGCAAGACACCGGGATCAAAAGACCAGCCGACGTCTTGGGTAAGGAAGGGAAGGGAGAGAGGAGGGAGGGGGAGACAGAGGGGATGAGAAGGGGGTAAGGGGGTTGGGGACAGAGGAGGAAGGGGTTATGAGAGGTAGGGTCGGTGAGGGAGGTCATAGGGGTTGGGGTGATGGGGGGAGGAGGGGGAAAGAGGTAAGAGCAAGGGCGAGCGAACGAGGGTGAAATCAGCAAGAAAGGTCAGCAAGCGAGGCTGCAACAGTTGCAAGTTCGCCCTTTGACCGAGGCTTTGTGAACGTCGCGAGACTGCACACGAAATGCCTGT